CAAATTTCCCTCACTATCCGATCGTACACGCACTTTATCTGCGTTCGCTCAGTATAGGAAAAAGCACAAATCTTCTGTACCTCTTAAACTAGCAGGCATTGATAGCCACGGCACTTTCAACATTTATGAGAGCTTACCTGCTGCGACCAGAAAGACTCTACAAGCTGCGATAAAATTGAGAAAATTGAATAAGCTGCATAGTGCATTCTCTTGGAGAGGTGAAATTTTTATACGTACGTCTGCTGGAAGTGAACCTGTTGCTGTATCTGATAGCAGCGAGCTTTTTAACATCATTAGTAGCATTTAATATTAGCATACTATTTAACATTTATTTTGTGTATTATCTTTTGTCTTCCTCATATATTTAAGTTTGTTTATAACCATTTTCTGTTAATATTACTCCACAATATGTTGGAGAACAGTCCGTCACATAATGTTAATTTCAACCAAACAGTCCTGGTAAATGTGCTCTGTAAGCGTGCTGGTGGCTTTAATGTAGTTCATTTCAACGCTCGCAGCTTGAATAGTGACAAACTGGATAGCATTAGAAGTATATTTGAAGATTCGTGTGTTGACGTTGTTTGTGTGTCAGAGACTTGGTTCAGTGCGGATATTCCGAATTATTGCTACTCAATCCCAAACTATAATTTGTTTCGCAATGACCGTTTGGGTAGAAGAGGTGGTGGAGTGGCTGTGTATTGTAGAAACAATCTAATTGTTAATATTATAAGTTCTTCTACGTCTGAGATTGAGTTTATGACTGCCGTGATTTCAGATGCGAGCACAAAAGTGTTGGTGTCTTGTGTGTACAATCCTAGCAAGAACATTTCATTGCAGCCTTTTTTTCGATGACCTTACTCCTCGTCTTCTTGACTATGACCACTATATTATACAGGGTGTCCCAGAAGTAACGTGCCAAACTTTAGGGGATGGTAGGTGGGGGGGTAAGCTCCCTGATAAACAAAAAATTTTCAGGTAAAAGTGTCACCGTTTTTGAAATATTTACATTTTTTCGAATTTAAAAAAAATCGTGCCTTTTCATGTGTTTTCTTTAACTCCAACTACAAACCCGGCAATACTTAGTAAATTTTTTATGTAAAATACTTCCAGATAGTTGCCTCTCCATACTCAAATGCAATGTAGTTAAAATATGTTAAGGAACCATCATAAAATTAGGACTATTTCTGGATTTTTAACTTTTTGATATTTTCACCCCAACTTTGACTATCTCGGGTCAAAAAAAAATGTACTGAGCTATAACTTTACATTACATCAAAAATTGCTCATTTAATACAGATTTCAGAAAGGTGCCACACTTACTGTTTTGAAGGGAAAAAAAATTTATAGCCGCTTTTGTGGGTAAAGGACTGAGACACGCTAGAATGTATTTAATAGATTTAAATTGAATTTGCTCTTGTTACCGTCAAATGACATGCTAAATAGTACAAAGGTACATTATTACCTGCTCCTGACATTATTTTGTGTTACTTACCGGAATAAGTGAAAGTGGATTTTGTGAAATTGGACCCTTCGAACATTGTATTATTAATACTATGACAGAGAACACGCAGTATACGTCGCATGAATATGCGGATATTCACCTAATTTACGGTGAAGCTTGCTGTAATGCCAGAGCTGCTCAAAGACTCTATGCAGAGCGATACCCCAATCGTCGACATCCGGGTCGTGAAGTATTCGCCCGGACCCATAGAGAAATATATGAAGGTAAGTGATTTTTAAACCTTTCTTGTTTGCTTGCTTGTTAACTATCATTTTTCACATTTTTAAGGTCGCATACCTGGAAGGCGTGGCAGCGAAACAGGAAGTCCTGCGACGGTAGATGTTGAAGCTGTGTTAGAGGAAGTGGAACTAGGTCCATCGACTTCAGTGAGAATGATGGAAAGACGGACGGGAATACCAAAAACTACAGTTCACAAAGCTTTAAAAGACCATCGATTTCATCCCTACCACATTCAACATGTTCAGGCTCTACAAGAAAGAGATTACCTGTCGAGGGTTAGATTTTGCCATGAAATGTTGCGAATGCATGCATCAGACTCCAACTTTTTTAATAAAATAATTTGGAGCGATGAATCATCATGCAAACGTGATGGTTATTTTAATTTACATAACCTTCACAGTTGGCAGATAGACAATCCTCACTAAATGAGAAAAGATCGTTCGCAGTACCGGTAAAAAATAAATTTATGGTGCGGTATTTTTAATTGTCAGATATAGGGACCTATGGAACTGCCGCCAACGCTCAACTCTCACAGTTATTTAGAGTTCCTTCAGGAACGGCTTCCAACTCTTTTGGAAGATGTACCCTTAAACCTGCGGCGAAGACTATGGCTGCAAAATGACGGGTGCCCTGCTCACTCATTTAGACGAAACTTATCCTCGCCAATCACGTGGCCCGCTCAATCGCCAGACCTGAATCCATTAGATTTTTTCTACTGGGGCTGTCTTAAGGACAAAATTTATTCAAAAACAATTCAAAACGAAGAGCATTTGCGGGAACAAATAAATGGAGCTGCTGCTGAGAGAGCCCAATTGATTTTAAGATCTCTAAAAGCGTCTTTTCTTAAAAGGTGCCGAGCTTGTATTAGAGTAGAAGGTCGCCAATTTGAGCATATTTTATCTATAAATGAATAAATTTTTCTTCAAACAACTCATGTATATCTTATTTCACGTGAACCCATCCTTCACACAAAATATTGATAGATATAGCCCTTGTTATAGACTCTAGTCCGAATTCCGGTAAGTAACATAAAATAATGTCAGAAGCAAGTAATTATGTACCTTTGTACTATTTAGCATGTCATTTGACGGTAACAAGAGCAAATTCAATTTAAATCTATTAAATACATTCTAGCGTGTCTCAGTCCTTTACCAACAAAAGCGACTATAACTTTTTTTTTCTATTCAAAACAGTAAGAGTGGCACCTTTCTGAAATCTTTATTAAATGAGCAATTTTTTTATGTAATGTAAAGTTATAGCTCAGTACATTTTTTTTTGACCCGAGATAGTCAAAGTTGGGGAAGAAAATATCAAAAAGTTAAAAATCCAGAAATAGTCCTAATTTTATGATGTTTCCTTAATATATTTTAACTACATTGCATTTGAGTATGGAGAGGCAACTATCTGGAAGTATTTTACATAAAAAATTTACTAAGTATTGCCAGGTTTGTAGTTGCAGTTAAAGAAAACACATGAAAAGGCACGATTTTTTTTAAATTTGAAAAAATGTAAATATTTCAAAAACGGTGACACTGTTACCTGAAAATTTTTTGTTTATCAGGGAGCTCACCCCCCCTCCTACCTTCCCCGAAAGTTTGGCACGTTACTTCTGGGACACCCTGTATGTGGCGATTTTAACATTAATCTACTCTCACCTGACTCTTTATCCAAGAATTTTTTAGACTCTGTCGCATCAGTTGGTATGTCTGTTGTCAATACTTGTATGCCTACAAGATTTTCATTCAATGTTCGTCCTAGTCTTCTTGACATTTTCATAGTTCCAAGGTCTACTTCTGTGCGTTTGTTTGACCAAATGTCTTTCATCTGTGACCACGATTTGATTTTTTGTTCGTTCGACTTTAAGTTAAATAACAAAGCTGAAGAAGAGACGAAGTTCTATTACCGTGACTATAAGGCCATTAAATTTGATGCGTTGTTTTCGGATTTAAACAGGTTCCATTGGAATTTTTGTTGGCAGCTAGTAACTGCTCACGAAAAACTAGACTTCTTTGTACAAAATATCTTATATTTCTTTAATAAGCATGTACTTATTCGCCAGTGTATCTCTAAGTCATGCTCCTGTCCATGGTTTAACAAAGAAGTTAAATTAGCGATTAAAAAGCGTAATATTTTCTACAACACCTGGAAAAGGAGGCCAACAGAGGAAAATTGGAACCTCTACAAACGTGCCCGGAATTCGGCTACTATTTCTGTACGGCTAGCTAAGAAGAACTTCTTCTGCGCAAAGCTTAACGTATCGTTGCCTCCTAAACAGCTCTGGGGAAGTTTGAAAAGGTTGGGCGTGCGGTCAAGCTCAGAAATACCCTGCTCACTTGACCCCAATGAACTCAATAATTTTTTTGCTTCAAGTAGTTGCTTGACTAATTACACGTCTGTAACAAATACCACTTCTTCGTCTTCTGACCAACACACCCTCTCGAGATTTCAATTTAGTTCCGTTTGCGAGGAGGAAGTGGCCAGATGTGTATGCAGTATTAAATCTAATGCTGTGGGGAATGATGAGCTTCCGATAAAGTTTGTCAAATTAATTTTGCCTTACATTCTCGCTTGCTTTACACACATACTCAATCACTGTTTAACCACTTCGTGCTTTCCATACAAGTGGAAAGTAGCAAATGTCACACCAATAGCCAAAAAAACCTGGTGCCTCTCTGATTTGTGAATTCAGGCCCATAAGTATATTAATAGGACTTTCTAAGGTTTTTGAGATGCTTTTAGCGCAGCAAATATCTGACTTCATTCCTAAAAATAAACTCCTAAACCCTCTGCAGAGTGGTTTCAGAGCTGGTCACTCCTGTTCTACTGCTGTTGTTAAAGTCTTGGACGATATACGTCAGCCATTCGATCAAGGTCATTTAACACTACTTTGTCTGCTTGATTTTTCTAAGGCTTTTGATTCTGTAAACCACACAATTTATTGTGTGAAAAACTAGCTAAGTATTTCAGCTTCAGCAAAACTGCAGTATAACTCATAGAGAGCTATTTGAGCGACAGGTTTCAAAAGGTGAAAATCGGCAATAATTGTTCTAACCTCGTGCATATATACTCTGGTGTCCCTCAGGGATCCATATTGGGCCCCCTTTTGTTTAGCATTTTCATAAATGACATTTTCAGCACCTGCACTCATGCGCGCTTACACGCCTATGCCGATGATGTGTACTGGAGCTCGAGACAGGCAGTTGGCGTTAGCGTTATCTATCCCTCGTTTGTAAACGACTCGATAGTCAAAACCGGAAAGAAAAACTGCATACCTTTGAAGGTGCGAAAAACTCATTTGTGGTAGTTTCGCATTTTGATTGAAAATTCGTACTAATGGTTGATTATCTGTAACAAGAATAAATTGCCTTCCAAACAAATATTGATAAAAATGACCGACTGAGAATACGATTGCTAATGCTTCTCGGTCAATTTGTGAGTAATTTTGCTCGGATTTTGTAAGAGATCTAGAAGCGAACGAAATTGGTCGTTCCTGACCGTCTATTATATGAGATAATACCCCTGCGACTCCAGTTGGACTGGCATCGCACGCTAATTGGAGCTGATGCGCTGGATTGTACGGTACGAGTACACGATCGCTTGCTATTTCCTTTTTGATAATATCGAACGCTTTATCACATTGTCTCGACCAATTGAATTTTACACCCTTCTTGGTTAGACTACGCAGTGGAGATGTGATTGTTGAACAGTTTGGAATAAAACGCGCGTAGTAAGTAACCATTCAAAGAAATCGTCTGACGTCATCAACCGACTTTGGCTTAGGTAAATCTACGATTGCTGCTATTTTGTTTTTTGATTTTGAAATTTGATTATGCTTGATTGTGTGCCCAAGAAACTCAATTTCTTCTTGAAAAAAAGTACATTTGTCTGTGTTAAGGTGAAGGTCAAAACTCTGTAGTTGATGTAGACACTTGTATAAGTTTTCTCTACATTCTAGTTTTGTTGCCCCGTGAACAATAATGTCGTCGAAGTATGCTTCTGTTTTTGGGACGTCGTGGAGTATTTAATTAAGTATTCGGTTGAACTCGGATGGTGCCGTCTTAATACCGAAGGATAAACGATTCACCTTGTATGTGTCGCGGTGTGTAGATATCGTTTGTATTATGCTCGAATCTTCATCGACTGGTATATGTAAATAAGCTTTGTATAGGTCTAGCCTACAAAAATACATTGAATCACGTAAGCAATTGAATATGTCTTCTGTTTTCCTTATCGGACTATGTGCGTCCACTAGACGTTCATTTACTCCTACTTTATAGTCGACACATAAGCGTACACCTCCGCCCACCTTTGGTATAACTACCAAGGGGGATCCCCAATCGCTAATCTCAGTTTTTGAAATTATTCCCGCCGTTTCTAACTCGTCAAGCTCTTGATTAACTTTCTGAATTAAGGCATATGGAACCTCACGGTCACGATTAAAAATAGGCTTTGCCCCATCCCTTAACTTAAGCGACACTGTGTATTGTTTGACGCAACCAACTTTGCTTTCAAAAATTGATTTAAATTGGTCGGTCAATAATTTGATAATATCTATATCGCTTGAAGGATTTGTTAAATGTACAGAGTTGATTTCGTTCAAATTTATGTTGAGCTTCCTAATCCAATTACGCCCTAGGAGCGCTGTATACTCTTCTGGCACGATATATTTTTCATCTGTTATCGCATTACCTTTATGCTCTCCTTGTACCAAAATTTTCCCATCGGGAACGAAAACGTTTTTTGTGTATGATCGAAATGCCATGTTTGATGACAATAGCGGAACATTAATGTTTAGATTCGCAAATATGTCTCTGGGTAAAAATGTATAGCCAGACCCGGTATCGATTTCAAATTGTACAGGTCTGCCTTCGATACTAACTGTGACGAAAAATCTATCTGATATTCTTGAATTTGTTTGATAAATATCTTGGATCTTTGTAATCGATAGAATCCCATTGTGACACTTGTCAATTTGGTTTGCTGTTTCCCTACTTTGCTTACTATTCATACGTGCCTTTATGCAAACCTTGGCCACATGGCCAGTTTTCCCACATTCAGAACATTTGAGGTTATTGCGTTTGCTAACGCAATTTTTTGCATAATGGTCATTTTTGCCGCACCTTAAGCACAGCCCATCAATACCCAATGATTTATAATCAATACTTTGTTTATTTTTGTTCGATTTGTTCTGATTTGATGACCGGTTAACGTTATTTTGATACCTGTGTTTTTCTTCCTTACCCTTTACTTTGTTGATTTCGCCTGTTGTTGAATGATTCGGTTTTTGTGCGAGCTCTTTTGAATCAGTTTTAGCTGCTTCTAATGCACGTGCCTTTTTGACGATGTCTGTAAACGCGGTTACCTCTTTTTGGCTTTGTAATAGTT